TAGATGAACATTTAAGTCATAAAAAAAATCTTAGTGTTATTAAAAAAGCGCACCACTCAAATGTTATTATTTTATCACTTCCATCCCACTGCACCCACAAACTGCAACCACTTGATGTTTCGTTTTTTAAAAGCCTCAAAATATTCTATGATCAGGAGGTTAGTACTTGGCTTCGTCACCATCCTGGTCGTCCCGTAACTGAACTAGAGGTTGGTGAATTATTTGGAAAAGCTTATGGGAAAGCTGCAACTGTTCAAAATTGTCAGTCAGGGTTCAAAAAATGTGGAATATATCCATTTGATAGAAATGTGTTTACTGAAAAAGACTTTGCTGCAGCCAAGGCTACTGATCACTCGTATGTTGTATCAAAAATTTCAAAACCAAATAATACCTCTGAAATGCACCCTACTCTCAACAATGGGTTAGACTCTGCTAAAGAATTAGATAATATTGATTTTGTTACAGATTGTGTTATTGACACTCAAAAAGGTAAATCGTCATAAATGTTGTATTATTTTTAACATCTTTCGCATTTTATTTAAAATAGAAATATGACTTTTTTAAAATCAAGCAAAATATTAACTTATCTGTTGTTTTATTAACCTAAAAAAAGGTTTCTTAAAGAAAGTTCAAATTTTTTAAAAACATTTTAACTATTTCTTATAATTTGCGTGTTGCCTATTTTTATTCACCCTCTTTAGTTGAATAATTTTTATTTAGAATCTATTTCATCAAATTCATCATTTACACTTCAGAAGTCATCAGAATTAGCCACCTCACACGATGAAACCTCACAACCTTATGGTGTTACATTTGGATCACTAGCTGGACTTGCTGTAGATGGTGGCACGAAACATGTGCTGCTATATGTGGTGTTTATACTAAAAAAGTATTTACTTGTGATGACTGTATAAAGCACTGATTCTTAAAAAAAAAGTTATATGTCATATATTGATAAAATGTGTTTTAACTTTCTTAAATAAATCTCTTATTAAAAAAGTTTCCTTTGAGTTTTGTTTTTTATTTTTTTAAGTTTAACTATTGAAGTTATGTAAAATATTATTTTATGAACTACTTATGAGCTTATAAACATAAATTCTTATTTAAACAGAATTTAGAAATAATCATCGAAATCGTAGAAATTAGTAATCGTTTCATTAACAATTATACTTTGGAAGCACATTTATATTTAATAAGGTTTCTGTTTTGGGTGACATTTATACCTTAATAAAAAAGGTGACATTCATACTTTAAAAATACATGACATTCATACTTTAATAAAATAAATAGGTGGTTCAAAAATTATTATTTTTTGCAACTGAAACGCCCTTAATTAAGTGCCAATTAGGTGTAACAAATTCTATTAAAGGGACAATTCTTTATACAATCCAGATTTATAGCTGTTTATAATATTTTAAATATATTAATGCGTTTTCAACAAACTTCTTAATTTTCATAACTATGCCGAATTTACCGTACCATAGTGCCGAAAATACCATACTAGGTCGCTAATTTCGTCATTTTTGAGTATTTTGTAAAACATGTTTTACGTAAAACTTTCTAAGTTGGAAACAATTTTTTAACTATTATTTAATAGATATATCTGCAGTGCATCGATATGCATGATTTTTTAACATTATTAAAGCAACCGTTGTCTATAAACAGCAAAATAGCTTAATACGCCGAAATTACCCTACTTTACCCTATATATATATATATATATATATATATATATATATATATATATATATATATATATATATATATATATATATATATATATATATATACTAAATTTTTACTAAATCACAAATTTTTTTTTTGATTTAGTAAAAAATTATACAAATATTTGATTTTCTTAAAAAAATACTTATATCTTAAAAAAAATAACAACAAAAAAACACAATTTTAAAAAGATATTGCAATGACGCCATATACAGAAACTATTATGAATTAACACGCATTAAATAAATTATTAAGTCTGCAGATTGCGGCTAACATTATACAGACCCCGAGAACCAAAAAAAATGGAGAAGATGAGCTTCAACTAAAACGATAATTTTAATTTTGTTGGTATGCATTCATATTTAGTTTTAATCAAAAAAATTTAGCCCAAATGTTTTTTTTAAACATTTTCTTTAATATGAACACAACTTGTCTCGGCAGTTGGGAATCCCTTAAAGGACTATATTTAAAAAAGAAACAACCTTTCTAAAATAAATTATAGTAAAACAGAAACAAGTAAATATACAGTTATGCTTCCATGGCTTCCAAGAATAAGCCTAAAACTTAGAAAAGAACTCAAACCTTACAACGTCAGAATAATTTTTATTACGCCACCTACATTAAAAACATCTTATGCAACAACAAGTCAAAGTTAATTCCTATTAGCAATCCTGGTGTCTACAAACTGACATGCTCTTGTAGCAGAATATACATTAGTGAAACAAAAAAGAAAATTTTAACTAGATGCATTGAACATCAAAAAAACTATTTAAAAGGTAAATGGGATGCATCTGGTGCAACCGAACATGGTAGAGAATTTTTTTTTTTTTTCTGTTTACATTTGCCGTAAAATAAATACAAGAACAAAGAAAACAAGGCTTCTGAAAGAAGATTTACTGATCTTATCGTCAGAACCTTTATAATTTTATCATACCATAAAAACTGAAAATATAAATCCAAAAACGGCCGTAATAATAAATATATAATAATAAATTCATAATATTAATCACGTATCTGTAATAATAATTCTCACAAACTTGTTATAAAAATCCATAATAATAAATTTTATAGATCTGATATAAATTAAAGAAAATAAATTTATTAATATAAATATTATTATAAATCTCATAAATCAAGTTTATACTTCAAGCTAATAGTAACTTAAAATGTTATCCGTAGCAAGAATGAATTTTTTTAATTCATTTTTTTAATTCAATCAAAATTAGGCAGAACTATTTTATTCCAAAGGTAAGGTGCTCTATAATTAATAAAAAAATTTATTAAAATTTGTTCTACAAAATGGTTCATTTAGCAAATTTTTATTTCTTAGTGAGTACTTATTAGTAAGTTTTAATGTAAAAAGGTCGTTAAAAACAGGTAGGGATAAATTGTTTTTCCACATATAAGTAAAACATAAAACATTGAAAACATTAAGTTTGTAGACATTAAGTATTTTCATTTCATCAAAGAAAGGCTTTGAATGTGTAGAGCGATCCACATAATTAATCACGCGAATCGCATGTTTCTGTTGGCGATATAGACGTTGTAGTTTACTTTTTTCGGTACTACCCCATGCAATATTTGCGTAGTTTATATAGCTGTGTATGAATGAGTAATAGAGCTGCGTAAGGCTTTTTTTGCTTAAGTAAGGTCGGGCTTTATACAAAATGCCAATATTTTTAGATACCTTGGTGGTTATGTGATTAATATGGTTTTTCCAAGTAATATTCTCATCAAGATAAGCACCTAGGAATCTTATAACCGAATCTCTTTTTATTAAAGTTTCATCAACATAAATTTGAGGCATAATATCTGGTAAAGAACGTTTTTTTGAGAAGGAATGAAAAAGAATCCATTTAGTCTTGTTAGTATTTAAAGTTAATTTATTACAATTAAACCATTTAGAAATGTTTATAGGTTCATTATTAGTTTTTGAGAAAAGTTTATAAACATCAGTGTGGGATTGAAATAAGTTAGTGTCATCGGCATAAATAATACTCATCAGGTTAGAGACTTTGTTTAGATCATTGACATATATAAGAAATAGCAGCGGTCCAAGAATAGAACCTTGTGGAACACCACAGGTTATATTTAAGGATCCACTTTGAACGTCATTATTACTATAGACTACTTGCTTACGATTTGTTAAATAGCTTTTAAACGTAATGGTATGTAGCTTTTAAATGTAATGGTATGTTCGATTGGTCACATCCTAAGACTCTAGCAATACAATCAGAGTACAATGAAAGGAAAGTTAGAGAATCACTTGAAATTAACTACCCCTTAACATACCAGGATATAAAACACGCTCCTATACTTCTCAACCATGACAATGACAATAAAATTTCTACAAATAGCTGGAGACCTCTGTTTAAAAAAATTATCCAAAAAAACAGAATTAAACAATTAAGTTTTTATGCAATCATTTATGGCTTTTTTAAATGTCTTCTTTGACGTTTTTATGTAATATATTTTACATCTGATGACGATCTGTACAAAATCAGGTCAAAATATTACTATGAAAAAATTTAGTTTGTACGCAGCTGTTATTTTATGTTTTATATTTAATTAAATATATATTTAATTATATATATATATATATATATATATATATATATATATATATATATATATATATATATACATATGTATATATATATATATATATATATATATATATATATATATATATATATATATATATATATATATATATATATATATATATATATATATATATATATATATATATATATATATATATATATATATATATATATATATATATATATATATATATGGTTAGAATTCAATAAATACGGCTGCGTATAAACTATTTTTAAATATATATATATATTTTTTTTAATATATAATTACTTCGATATTTCGCTGATCTATTGTGATCAGCGTCATCAGGTATAATAAACAAAATAGTTACAAAAATCGTTATAGTAAAAACAAACCGTTAAAAAGATAACATTAAAAAGCCATAATATAATACAAAAGAAACTTTTCGAACAACTGACGTCAGCAGATTTTATTAAAAAATGGCCCCCAGGTTTTGCTTGTTACGTTATCACCGTCATCCCAATTGAGAACCACGTCACCATTTCTCAACTCCTGTTGAACCCTAGCCTTGCTTATTTCGAGTGACTCTCTGATTTTCCGAGTTCGATTTTCTGGGGCTACAAATAAGTTTTTGGGGTGCAACCAATTAAACTTACCATGGCATGTTTTAGAATGCTCAGTTGCACCCGAACTGGACCATTTTCCTTTTAAGCTGTTTTTTTTTGGTGTTCAATACATCTCGATATCACCTTCTTTTTAGTTTCTCCAATGTATATCGAACCGCATAAACATTTTAGCTGGTATACGACAGGGTCTGTGTTTAGTGGTAGTTTAGTTTTATTGTTGCAGAAAATATTTTTTAAATTGGGAGTTGATGTGAAAATAACCTTTATGTTTTGCTTTCGAAATTCTTTACGAAGTTTTGGACCAACAATTGGTAACCAAGGTAGTTTTATAGAGTGTTGGGTATCTATTGGTTGAAATGTGGTGGTTTTTGAACCGTTTTTTAAATAGTCTATAGTAATATTATTTAGAATGTTCTTGTCGTGGCCATTTTCAACAAAGATGTCTGTTAGAAAATCAATTTCTTTTTGAAGGTATTTTTGAGAGCATATTCTTTTAGTACGACATAAAAATCTTTTGAAAACGCCAATAATAATGCTAGGATTAATGTTCGAGTTAGGTTTAAGTTGAACATTTGTAATAGCTTCTTTTCTATGTATTTGAAATTCATAAGTTCCAGAGCCTGTGTTTGTAATGTTAATATCTAGGAAATTGAGTTGTTTGAGGTCGTTTTCAAGTTCCACTGTGTATTTTACGGGAGGATTTTGTTCATTAAGGATGTTTCGGAACATTTGTTGTTGTTTTATTGAAGCAAAGCAAACATGACAATCATCTACATACCTCTTGTAAGTTTTTGGTTCGGATGTATGAATAATTGCTATGTTAAGGGCTTTTCTTTCTATATTTTGTAAAAACGCTTCCGTCATAACAACCATTAAAGATAAATCTATAGGGCCTGAATTAGGTATTTTTCGGATATTGTTTTCATATAAAAAATAGCATATACTTAATAAAAGTTCAATTAATTGATGTATGTCTGCAAGAGTAAGTTTAGTTCGAGTTTTTAAGTCATCAATGTCAGCGTTCAATATATCAATAACAACCGGAATTGCTTCGTCAATGGGTATGGATGGATATAAATTGACTATATCAAATGAAACTTGAGCTTCGTTAGGATCTATTATCCATTGCTTAGCTTAATTTACAAAACTATTAGAATTCATAAGTCTACTCTTATTTTTGTTCAGAGTCGGTTGAATAATTTTAACAAGATAATCAGATGTTCCATAAGGTGGTGTGTTAATTGTTGATACAACAGGGCGCATTGGGTAATCTTTTTCTGCTTTGTGAGCTTTAATCATTCCGTAAATCCTTGGTGGGTTACAATCTGATGGATACATTTTAAAGTATGCATTTGTATCTAGTTTACATTCTTTTCTTAACTTGCACAATTGTCTTTGAAATTTGTCAATGTGGATGTTGGATCATAATCAAGAATTTTGCTATTTTTTATTTGTTCTTCTAATTTGAGAGATGCATCTTTTTGATTTAATAATGCAAAACCTGTGCCTTTATCGAAAGGGTATATCTTAATGTTAGAATTGTTTTTTAATTTGTTTATGGAAAGACGTTGTTGCTTAGTTAAATTATCTTTGAATCTTAATTTTAGCGAAATTGTTCAAATTTGTGAACAATTTTGTCGTAGAGTTTCTGCCTGTGTTGGTTTTTTAAGTTTTTCAAGTTGTAAAGCGCAAGTTTCGATATTAGTTATAATATCCATTTAAGGAACTTTTTTCGGCAGTGGTACAAAATTTGGACCTAAATTGAGTAGCTCAGTTGTTGATTTATCCAGAGTAACATTAGTTAAATTGAGTATAGGAGGTTTAATAACTTGATTGGGAGGATTAAAAGTATTTTTTATAATCGGTGTAATTTGTAATTTATGATATTTTTCTATCATTTCCGTTTTTTTCTTAATGTTATGGTAATTTTTTGATTTGTTGGTTATACTAATAATTAATTCATAATCGCGTAATCTTACTTTTGTCTGAAGAAATATATTTAATTCATTAATTAATTTCTTACTTGAATATAATCTGTGTTTGGCTTCGTTACGAGCATGAATTAGTAGTTTTTTACTGTATTCCTTCATTGTGTTCTTTGCTTTTTTAGTATGAATTGGAGTTTTTATTTTAAACGATTTTGGAGTTATGTTATTGGATAAGCACTTTTGAAGAAAAACGAGTTGATTTTTTTAGTTCGCATTTCGTATCTTCAAATCTTGTAACTTTTTGGTATCATCGTAAATCTTTTTGCCGTAAAAAGTAGTAATATAATCTTTGAATGTCATTTTCTTGTTATACGTTAAAATATGGTTAGAATTCAATAAATACGGCTGCGTATAAACTTTTTTTAAATATAAATATATATTTTCTTTAATATATAATTATTTTGATTTTTCGCTGATCTATTGTGATCAGCGTCATCAGGTATAATAAACAAAATAGTTACAAAAATCGTTATAGTAAAAACAAACCGTTAAAAAGATAACATTAAAAAGCCACAATATAAAACAGAAAAAAACTTTTCAAACAACTGACGTCAGCAGATTTTATTAAAAAATAGCCCCCAGGTTTTGGTTGTTACATGCAACTGAGCATTCTAAAACATGCCATGGTAAGTTTAATTGGTTGCACCCCAAAACATTATCTTTAGCCCCAGAAAATCGAACTCGGAAAATCAGAGAGTCACTCGAAAAAAGCAAGGCTAGGGTTCAACAGGAGTTGAGAAATGGTGACGTGGTTCTCAATCGGGATGACGGTGATAATGTAACAACCAAAACCTGGGGGCCATTTTTAAATAAAATCTGCTGACGTCAGTTGTTTGAAAAGTTTTTTTCTGTATTATATTATGACTTTTTTATGTTATCTCTTTAACGGTTTGTTTTTACTATAACGATTTTTGTAACTATTTTGTTTATTATACCTGATGACGCTGATCACAATAGATCAGCGAAATATCGAAATAATTATATATTAAAGAAAAAATATATATATATATATTTAAAAAAAGTTTATACGCAGCCGTATTTATTGAATTCTGACCATATATATATATATATATATATATATATATATATATATATATATATATATATATATATATATATATATATATATATATATATATATATATATATATATATATATATATATATATATATATATATATATAGAGTTGCAACCCCAAAAAAAACGGTGTTTTTTTTTTAAAAAAAACACGTTTTTTTTTGCAAAAAAAACACGTTTTTTTTGCAAAAAAAACAGACTGGTTCTAAAAACATGTTTTTTATAGTTTTTTTTGCTTTTTTTTAGTATTCATTAAATTTTAGATAATAATAATACTTGAAATAGTTCCAGTGCCCTTAAACCTACAAAATACAAATGTTTTCTATTTAATAAAATGCATATTAACTTATATAATAGCTGTTACAAACTAATCACCAATATTAAAAAAAAAACAGTATTTTTTTTAAATAAATCTCAAAAAAACTATACTATTAGCTACTAGTTGATTGTAAGTATAATACTACTGAATGAAGGAAATAAAAATGTTATTTTAGCAGTGTTATTTCATTCATAAAAATGAATGAAATAACACTGCATTGCAAAATACAAAAATGAACCAACTGTTAAATAAAATTTACTTTAATGTTTTATTTACTTTTGTATATTACTTTTTTAAATTTTTAATATTTAATTTCTTTATTTTATTTTAAATTGCAATTAGATAGCTAAAATTTTATTTATTCAAACAATATTCAAGTAAATAAAAATAACACAATGATTAACTTTGTCTAATGAAAAAACATTTATATTAAACAATTTGTAATCTATTAATTATTTTTAATTAAAAAAAAAAAAAGAAATCTAAAAAAAAATATGCCAGGCAGAAAGAAATGTTTTGTAGCTACATTGTTCAATGTAGCTACATTGTTCAATGAGGCACCTTTAGAATCTGGAGGTTCTAAAATTCAACAAGTTATATGCAAATTTTGCAACTTAAAGCTATCAAAAAATGGCACTCGAATGACTGAGCACATTGCAAAATGTATGAAATGTGGCAATCAAATAAAAAACAAATATTTGAACGATATGCCTTTTAAACAGAAGAAAGTTTAAACTGAACTAATGATGGAAGAAGATATTCCTGAAAACTTACCTATTCAAGATATGAAAAAAGAGAAAAAAATATGTTTATCATCTGCTATTCCACAAGTTCCAATTGAGTCTTTCTTTCCAACACCAAGCTGTTTTGGAAACCAAAGTAGGTCTACAACCCCTAAGTTTGGAGACTGTAAGGCAAATAAAACCAAATCAGATAAGCCTCCCTTAAAATGATTGTATTCTTCAACAAGAGTTCCATTCACAACTCAGAAAAATAAAATTGCATCCTACATTTTAGGAGAGTACAAGAGTTTAGAGTCAGAGTTATCAAGCGACTCTGAAGAATACGGATTTGACTTTACAATAGAAGACCTTAATGAACAAGAAAGCCAGAATACAGAATCTGTTATTAATTAAAAATAAATCTTTTAAATTATGTACTATATATTTACCATATATCATGTTAATAATATATATTATATTACATTTATAATAAAAATAAAAATAAAATAAAAGTAAATAATTTTTTTTTTAATCTAAAAAACAAAAAAAAACCATAAGAAACACAAAAAACACAAAAAAAACATGTTTTTTTTGCAAAAAAAAACACAATTAAAAAAAAACGGTTTTTTTTGCAACTCTATATATATATATATATATATATATATATATATATATATATATATATATATATATATATATATATATATATATATATATATATATATATATATATATATATATATATATATATATATATATATATATATATATATATATATATATATATATATATATATATATATATATATATATATTTATATATATATATATATATATATATATATATATATATATATATATATATATATATATATATATATATATATATATATATATATATATGATAAATAATATGATAAATTTTCTATTGTTTCATGATTCTTCATCATGTAAAGACAATTAGATAATAATTACAGTTGTTAGATAATAATTTTAGATAATAGTTGTTAGATAATAGTTACAATTGTTTTCAAACCTTCTAACATACTTTCAAACCTTATAACGCAGGGTCATGTTTTCCGATGAATCAACATTTTCCCAGTTTGCCTCTCACACTTTTGTTAGAAGACCAGTCAAAAATCCTAGTTCCGAAAACACCCTTAAGAAAGCGATCATGACTGTTTAAGAAATAACTATAAGTATATGTATAAGAAATAACGCTGGAATATTGCCAAAAATTAGTTGATTCAATGCCTGAGAGGATAAGGGCTGTGATAGCTAACAAAGGACAGCCACCAAATATTGACTTTTGAGACTATCACGCCTTTAAGATGCTTATTTACTAATAATTTAATCATATTTTATAATTATAGCACAAACTAATTGTTATTGATGTTAACTGCTTGTTATTTTCAGGTTCTAAATATATAAATTTAAATACTAATTAAAATTATAAAGCCCACTCACTAAACATCATCAGCAGTATTGTGAAACAGTTCCGCTTCCTCCTCACATTTTAACGTTTTTTGTTAATTTCTATTTAGCTAATTGAATTTCTACATTAACTCAATGATTTAATTATTTCATTTGTTCATCTTACTAAGAAGAAATAATTGTTTCAAATGTTTTAAACATTTCAAGCTACGCGAAGCATAAAATAAATCATTTAGCGTTAGTTTTATTGGTTGAACCTTGTTAGACTTTTCAGGCTGGGGGCTTCATTATTTTGGCGGCCTTTTTTATGTGCTACAGCGTAAAAATGACTAAAATAAATACTGAATCGTCCTCTTGACTATTTTGCGGCCCCTAACATTGTGAGTCCCAAGCATTGTATTGTATTTTATTGACTAGAAAGTTTTTTTTTATTTTTTAATGAAGAATTTATTTAAAAGAGTGCTTTATAAGGTGACAATGTCTTAATTTATTTTTTAGTGCTTTAATTCTAAAAAACGTGCTTTGATTGAAGAAAAATGAAAATATTTTATTGTTGCCTATTGCTGGATGAATTAAAGCTCCCATAGCTCCCTAAATCAGTAATGCGTCATCAGTATTGCGTCATCAGTTGCATCTAATACAAAAATTGAAGCACATAGTAAGCATTAGTAAACTGAATTTAACTGTTTCATTATTGTTAATTTTTTGTTATTTTAGTTTTTGGGATCTTAAGTGACATCCAATGGATGTTTATCTGTGAGATGGTTTCTTGCCAATGTGAGCAAAAAAACACTTTATTGCATTGGTTAGCAGTAATCTCGCAATTTACTCTTGGAGTTATTTTTATACAACTTTTTTTTTTCGATTTTAATATGAACTTGTCTTATGTTTAAATATTGTTTTAAATTTTATATGTAGTGTTATTTTATTAAATACAAAAGAGTTTTTTAATTACCCTAACGTTTATATATGTATGTGTAATGTAAATTTTAATCGTACATTTTAGTTTAATTGTATACTATTTTTCACACAAAGTTTAACTTTGTGTTATTTAGATGCTGTGAAAATAAAACCTTTAACCTCAGCAGCATCAGGAGAAGAGTTTGAACATTAACTGAAGAGATATTTTTAGCTTTTCGGGGATCAAAATGGCGACGAAAAGCTCGAGAGTTCTTTGTATAAAAAGTTATTTGCATAAATAACAATTTGAACTTATAATAATATTTTTATATTTTTCATTTCATTTCATTCCCAAGCATAACACAGTTTTGCTTGGGAATAAATTTCAAAAATACTTATTTATTTTTTTCGATATAAGTTGGAATAAATTTCGAAAAGTACTTATTTGTTTGATTTATGCAGGATAATACATTTGTAAAGAAACGGATAATAATAACGTGCTAGTGTATTACTTAGTAAAAAGTAACGCTTTAGTTCTGACACGCGACCACGAACAAATGTTGGAAAATGATCACGGATCAGTACCGGTAATAGATAATGGGCCAGTGCTGGTGGGCGAATGGCGGGCCAGTGCTGGCAAATGATCCCGGGCCAGTGCTGGCAAACGATCGCAGGCCAGTGCTGAACGATTGCGGACCAATGCTGGCCCATGACTAGCGGGCCGTTGTTGGTCCAATGGCCGTTTTGATGCGGTCCCGTGATCAATAGCCGTCATCGCGCCGTAGTCGCAAGCGGAACTAGGCCGCTAGCGGGAGGCTGTCTGGGAATCAAGCTTTAAAAATATTGAACTGTTTTTTATTTTTTTTTGCACTAATTATGTAATCATGTATTGCATTAATGTCATACTCAATAAACATATTAGGAAATTTAGATAATTGGGTTTTTTAACTGAATTTTCTATGTTAAGCATTAACAGAGCAGTAATGAATATTTGTTTTCCCAGTAAGCAGACACTATTTGGCCCAATAGCGAACCAGGCTCAACTGCCGAGCTATACCAGGCCTGGCACGCCAGCGCCGTGTTGCTCATTGGTTTTTCAAAGGGCCAGTATATGCAAGCCAGTGCTGGCGCAGCAACGTTTTGCTAGCGGCAAGCCAGCATTGATTCAATTTAGGGTCAACGCTGGCAATCAGCGAACGTTGCACTAAACGCCCACTATACAAAATTGTCCAATTAATCTACTTTTTTCATCAATTTTTACTAATTTTACTTATTTTATATATATATATATATATATATATATATATATATATATATATATATATATATATATATATATATATATGCATATATATATATATAAATTTTATATAATTATATAAAAATAATTATTATATCTATTATGTTTGTCAGTTATTTTTTTTTTTTTTACTTTTTGTTAAAATAGACATAAGTTAAAAACAAATAACAATTATTAAATTCATATAATATATTGTTTGTTAATAATTTACAAGTTAATAAATTTGCATTAAAAATTTATAAAAAATAAATGCATTAAATTTATCATTAATAATATAAATACTTGTAAAGCTTATAATAATGTCAAATTTACAATTAATATAAAACATAACATACAAAACAGATCATGCAAGAGAACATTATATTTTGTCAGATTCATCAAAAATAAAGCGTTCAAATCGCGGTAATGATAATCCAGATAAAGGTTTCAATGTCAATTATTGGACAGTATAGCCACGATTTTTTGTTGAACTAATTTTTTGGATGGACTTTTTTTCTGCTCCTTCTTTTCTGCCTCTATTTCTGTCTAGAGCTCCAAAAAAAAAAGCCACAACTACCTTTTAAATTTTGCTGTATGTGGTATCTTTTGTCAGCAAATTTCTTCGTATTGCTTCTATAAACATAAACGCAGTCATATATCAAGTGTTTTTATGAACAAAATTATAAGAGTATAGCTAAATATAGCTGTTGTATATATCTGTATATGTCTATATCTGTCTCTCTCTCTCTTTGTTTATATATATATATATATATATATATATATATATATATATATATATATATATATATATATATATATATATATATATATATATATAAATATATATATATATATATATAAATATATATATATATATATATATATATATATATATATATATATATATATATATATATATATATATATATATATATATATATATATATATAAATATATATATATATATATATATAAATATATATATATAAATATATATATATAAATATATATATATATATAAATATATATATATATATATAAATATATATATATGTATATATATATAAATATATATATATGTATATATATATATATATATATATATATATATATATATATATATATATATATATATATATATATATATATATATATATATATATATATATATATATATATATATACACATATGGGCAGGATTAAAAAGTCTTTTTTTTTCAAAAGGAATGACCTTTATAAACTAAATTGGAAATTCAAAAAAAAAAAAAAACGTTTACAAGGGGGCAATAGTACCTAACATGCTACATTAAAGACTTATTTAATTTCAGGTAAAGATATTGCATGTGGAATAATAACTTTTTCGTTATAGCCATCAAAACTTGTGTCACAGAAGGAACCTATCGTTCCTTCCCTGACACAAGTTTTTAATGCCTATAACTAAAAATTTAGAATTCTACTAACAATGTATTTTCTCAAAATTAAATAGATATTTATAGTTAGTTTGTTAGGTATTTTTACCCCCTTCTAACCCTTTTTAGTTTTTTTTAAATTTCCAATTTAGTTTATATAGGCAATTCCTTTTGAAAAACACGACTTTTTTTTGTATCTCAAATCGAGCAGGTTTTGATTAGAAAATCGAATTAAGAATCAAATCAGCAATTTAAAATAAAAATATTTAAACTCATATTCCTTATTATATATATATTTCAAATATCTTTATATTATATATTTTAAAAGAAAAAAAAAAATTGTAAAAACTCTTTTTGGTATTATTTTTTTTCAATTGGTAACAATTTTTAACAATTGGTAACAATTTTTAACAATTGGTAACAATTTTTTACGATTATTAACAATTTTTAACAATTGGTAACAATTTTTAACAATTGGTAAGAATAAATAAAGTATTTTTTGAAAGTGCCAATTATTCAAAAATACTACAACAAAAAGAAAATAAGTAAATATTCATTAACTTGAATTTATTTTTTTTTGAAACTCAAATCACTTTTCCGATTCAATTCGAAATTTTGAAGATTCACATGGCCCTAATAATTAATAAATGACAATAAAGTGAAGAAAACAATGAAAGACAATTTTAAATATTTATATTTATTTATTACTATATTTATTAACTTACTTTCAATTACTTAACGAAATTTAAGAATTCGGAAAGACTTTTGCCTGTCCAATTCAATTTTTTTGAATTGGACAGGGCAAGGTGATCTTCAAAAAAAATTGTTACCACTAGTAAAACAATTTAGTTCATTTTTTTTATTAATATTAGTTATAATTCATAAAATGTTTTGCAATAGGCTACAAATAAGTAGTCAAAATACCTTAATCACAGAGGTAATTATGATCACTTTTTTCAATCTTGTTCTACTTTTACTCAATACAGAGACAGGTGTCTGCAGACAAGATTTTTTTTGCTACTTTTCTTTTTGCTGCTACTCCCTTCACCTTAAAAAAAATTGCTACCTTCTTTTAAAATATATAATATAAAGATATTTGAAATATATATATAATAAGGAATATGAGTTTAAATATTTTTATTTTAAATTGCTGATTTGATTCTTAATTCGATTTTCTAATCAAAAACTAGTAAAACAATTTAGTTCATTTTTTTTATTAATATTAGTTATAATTCATAAAATGTTTTGCAATAGGCTACAAATTAGTAGTCAAAATACCTTAATCACAGAGGTAATTATAATCACTGTTTACAATCTCGTTATACTTTTGTTTAATACAGAGACAGGTGTCTGCAGACAAGACTTTTTTAATTCTTGATGTTCATTAAAATTTTGTGAGTCACTATCTTAATTTTCATCTGATTACTTCTGTACTCTAAACACATAAGTCTAATGTTAAAATATAGTTTATAGAAATTTTTATGGTATATTATAAACACGTTAAAGTATGCATTAAAAAGTATAAATGAAATACAAAATAATACCTTAAGATATTACGATGTTCAGTAAAAATTATTTTAAAGCTAAACATTAACAGAGTTAATAAGTGTATACTTTGTTCTAAAAATAATAATTAAAACTTAGTGAAGAATTTGTTTTACCCAACAACAAATTAAAAATAAAGAAATTATAAAGAAACATAATTAAGGTTGAATAAATATATAGAATAAATGAAAATAAAGGTGGGGGATGATGATAATGATGATGAGATCATATAAAATATAGCATAAAAAAATACATATATATAATTAATTTTATTTAAATACATAAAAAACACAAACTTAAATAAAATTTTAGGATGCATTAACATTTAAGCAGCTCTGGTCATAGATCAGCAAATTAAATCAGTGAATTCTTGTTTGATATTATGCTTAGAAGATCAAAATGCTAAATCACCCTCTAGTTCATCTATTACAATATTCTTATCACTTTTGTCTGAATCGTTATTAGATAAAGCTTCAAATTCACTAAATTCATTATCAATTTGATAAAAAATAATGAGGTTATTATCCAGGGCAGTGGTGTTGGAAGGTTTATTATCTGAAGTGTTTAAACCATGTTTTTTGCAATTGCTTTGAATGACTGTTTTGGGCAAAGCGTCAATCCTCGCAGTTGGAAATACGTCATAATCTTTGCCGCGAACATCTACCATTTTAGTTGGGGGAAAATAAGCTTTCGTTATGAAACAAAAACAATGGCATAACATAAAAGTCTTTAAAATGCACAAGGGTTGATGTGTCTTTAGGTGATTTTTGATATATGTATATATATACGTGTAAGTATAAACAATATATATATATATATATATATATATATATATATATATATATATATATATATATATATATATATATATATATATATATATATATATATATATATATATAAAAGATGGTTTTGTTTTTTTCAGTTAACTCTGGTGACTAAGATGGTTTTGTTGTTTTAAACGCACAAGCCAGACAACTTGTGTTTTCAAAACAACAAAACTAGAGCCTAATGTTTTGTGAAAAACTTCCTGCATCTAGCTAAAGCCAAAATATTTATAAGCATCTAATGCTTCATAATTACCTATAGCCTCAAAAAAAAAAACATTATAGGACTTTTTAATAAATAATTATAAACGTCATGGTATTGAACTCATGGCCATTCAGTCATCTTTCCAAGTATTTGCAAGGAACCTTTGGAGACATCGGTTGATTCTAAGGATTGCAAATATATTTATATACCTTTCTGCGGCGTTAAAATCTAATTTTTCAAGATGGTACCATCTTGGATAGGGGAGAACAAATTATTAATTGAGTTAATAAAGCAGGACAATTAGTACAAAGTGATTTAAAGAGTTTAAAAAAAGAAATATCGGTTTACGAGTACTTTGAAAAATTAGATTTTAACGCCGCAGAAAGGTATATAAATATATTTGCAATCCTTAGAATCAACTGATGTCTCCACAAGTTCCTTGCAAATACTTGGAAAGATGACTGTATGTCATCTTTCCAAGTATTTGCAACATATCATTAATGATACGTATCATTAATGATATGACCATAAACGTATCATTAATGATACGTTTATGGTCCGGCAATGGCTAGCCAGTTCTGGTTCGCCAGCTAAGGCCCTTAACTGGATCACATGTTTTGCCGGATCTGGCTCGCCAGCTCTGGCCCATTAATGTAATGCTGATTGGGTTGGCTGGAATAAAACAAAATGTACTAAGTTTTGTTTGAGTTTAACCAAGATTTATTAGCCCTTAATCATGTGTTAAATTTTTCAATTCTAAATTTACAGTTGAAAATGGCGCTGGTAGAACTGTGAAACAAATATCATCTACAAAAATTATGCTAATTTTTCTATGGTAACCATTCTAAGAAAAAAAAAACTTTTGATCATTGTTG